TCTGGAATGAAAGGAGAGGCAGCGGGGATGCAGATGTGACGTTGAAGTATAAAAATCCACCATATGGTAAAGATTGCTTCAGCTACAGTCTGGTCAAGATGTTGACACTTTGGTTATGAAAAGCAATATGTATCTCTCTCTTGGTGGTTTCTGTTCAAATTAAATGTTTTGTATCAGGCAGAGAACTAATAAAGAGCCAGGTTTTCCCCTGACAGAGGACTAGTAACAAATATGGAGTAATGTGAAAGCTGACTTGAAAATTACTATTCCCAAAGATGCAATAAATGTAGAGATAAGACTTGCTTAGAGGATTCAAATGAGATAAATGCTAAAGGTGCTGCTGGGTGGGAAGAGAGTCCAAGGGGAACAGGCAAAAGCAAAAAAGTAGCATTTAAAAAACACAGTCTGACCTGTCAACATTTCTGTTAACACCAAATGCCTCCCGGACACCAGGCACTGCTTCAGCCTTCTGCAAACCCCACTCCTACCAGTTAGTGCAAGCAAAGGGCCAGAAAAAAAGGATATCTGAGTGCCAACCGTTATGTGTTCAAGACAAAAGAGTGAGGCACGCCTCTGTCAGGGTCCTCCGAAGGGATGTAATGGCCCAGGACGCGTGTGGGGATGTACAGGGAGGCACAGAAGCAGCTGTGTGCAGCAGGCAGGGCTCAGGCACAGCCCCCACGGCCGGGGATGGGCTAGGACTGGGTGTGACAGGGAAATGAGAAACTGAGATGCAAAACAAACACTAAACCATCGAGGCTGCATTCTGGAGTCACAGTGATTCCTGTCTGGCTCAGGCTAAAATAAACTTTGCACATCAAATATTTAATACCCCAAAGCCTGTTCCCGAGGCTGGGCCCCGCGGCTGCGTGCCCCGTGCAGGCAGGCTCCCGTCCCGGTGTGCCGAGCTGCGCCCGCCTCTCCCCGCGCACCCGGCATCTTCCAGCGCTTAATGCGAGTTAACAGCAGTGGCAATGACTTATTTAAGAGCAGATCAAGAAATATCCCAGCTCTCTTTGGAGACTTCAAAAGCAGCTGAACACTTTCAGAATCCTCCGATAAAGATACAGCTTTGCTGTACCATCTGCCTCGGGGGAGCCGCACGCCGCCGGCAGCGGGAAGGGGAGACGTGGCTGCTGTGGGGACATCTCTGTGGAGCTGGGACCCTGACACCATCCAGCCCCAGAAATGTGGCTGCCAGGCCCACTGCAGGTGGAGGGGACCCAGGATTACCCTTCCCATGTCAGGGGCTGCATCCTGCCCATGGCCCAGTGGATGCCTGAGCTGTCCAGCCAGTCTCCATCACCTTCAAGGAGGTGGGATGCAGTTACTATGGCAACAAAAAGAAAGGATTAAAAAAAACCCCAAAAAAGTCAAAAAGGATCTTTTTTTTGCCTAGAAGACCCCCCCTAGGATGTCTGTGGGTGACAGTACTGGGCAACTCCTTATGCCACGAGTCAGAGAAGAGGCACTGCAGAATGCAGAACCACACTGGGGTTTGGAGATTGGGACAAACGATGGAGGAGAGATGGTACAGAGAGCCAGAGCTCAATGGCTGAGCAAATCTCCTGCCTCACCCAGCCAGGTCGGCCATTGCCATGCTGTGCCTTCACACCCACAGGCACCTTCCTGACAGAGGCAGACAATGAGCCAGAGGAGGGCCAGGGACAGAACTAACAGTGGGTTGGAGGTTTTGCACTGGAATTTGGAACTGGAGACTTCAGCCCTTGTCTCAGTCCCAAGCACAGGCAAGCAGGGTTGGAACAGAAAGACAGCAAAACCAATGTGCTTTAATGGAGACCTTGGGACTCGTTTGCTGGGCAAGGACAAAAAGGTCCTCCATCAAAAAATGACATTTCCCACTGGGAAACAGGGAACCGAAGCTCCATGTCCAAAGTCTCAACCCCAGTCTGAGGCTGATAGGAGATTTGTTATTGATTCACTGTGGCCAGAATTTCATCCTGTGATTTAAACCTAACTCCTCCAAAGAGAATAAGATCAATTTTGCAGAGAATCAAATACATAAAGAACAGCCTTTGAGCCGGTGTGCAGCAGAGGCAGGGAGGGTAGTCAAAAAAAAAGGCTCTTTCCTTATCAGGAAAGTTAAAAAAAAAAAAAAAAGAAGAAAAGAAAGGAACCTGGAGAATGTTGTTTGCTCATTTTTCCTTTCCCAGTCAAAACAACCCCGCCTCTGCCGGCTCTCTGCATGGGCACTGAGGGAGTAGAGCAGCAGAGGGTTTCTTGTAGCAGGACTGGAATGTAGCTGCTACAGTCACCAACCCTGAAGCCCCCTTCCCAGATCCCCCACCTCACATCCAGCCTTTCCCAGGTGGCCCCTGACCCATGAAGCTGCATCAGCACCACAGTGGGTGAGCAGGTCCGACGTGCTGGGGGCTCATGTCCGCCAAGCCTGGCAATGACAAAATGCACTGGTGATACAGCATCCACCTTCATGGGCACAATTGCTGCTTCCAAAAGGGGCTGGGAGTGAACACAAGGCAGAGAAGGCAGAGGTTTGGGGAGAAAGGGAAAACCAGCTCTGCTGCATCCATGGAGCAGGGCCATGGAGCAGGACACCCTGCCCTAAGGGCACAGGGAGCCCCTGCCCCAGTTTCCTCCATATTTGGGGAAATGTGAGCTCCCATCAATTAACCCCCATTTCTCCTGTCTGGGAAACTGGAAACCCTTACACTTAGTTTCTCTCTTGGAGGTTTTATTATCGTAATTCCTTTTTATTTTGGCCTTGGAAAACAATTCATCACCCTCAGGCAGCATAGATTGGCCTCTGCCAAGGTTGATGATCTGCTTGTGTGCCATCTCCTCCTAAAGCACAGGGGTAATTTGGAGCTTCTTCTGTCCTAAAGCTTTGCAAGGGATCACAGCCTGGTATTTGACCCTCTGCTGCCACCCCGGCCACCTTCCCATGCCCTGGGCAGGAGGACATGTCGGCACTGTGGCAGAGGCTTCTGCAGCCAGCCACCCCCTTGCCCATTATTTAACTGCAATCCAGAGGCAATTTTTCTTGGGAAAAGCTTTTAAGCTTGATCAGTGATGGGGTTAATATTGTTTGCCCTGTGTCTCAATTTTTTATCTGTATTAATGGAAAGTGCCATGGCAGGGTTTTCCACAGCAGCACTACAGTGCTGCTTTCTTGGCTTGTTTTATTTTAAAGGCTGGCTTGCAGTGACTGATCACGCTGCAGCACAGCAGTTACCAGCCACGTCCCCACAGAAGCTGCCCAGACACCCCCGGCAACAGTGTGATGTCTACCCTAAAGCCCAGAGTTTGTCCCCAAAGAGCCATCCTTGCCGCACAGTCCATTCCACCACCGAGGGCCAGAGCAGGGAGGGAGCTGAGCAGGGCTGTATGCGGCAGCAGAGGTGAGCTCTATAATTGTACACCTGCCTGTGTTTGTTCTCTGATGGCTCTTTGGGGACACTCAGTTACATCACGTTCAAAAGAAAAGGACAACAACACAAAACAAAAAGCAGTTGCAAATTAAACAACTGGAAGCCTACTGGGGCTGCCAGGAAAGTTGGATGCTGCTTCCTGCCCAAGGCAAGCAGGCATGGGAGCAGAGCCTGAGTCCAGCTCAGACAGAAAGGCAGGACGGGGACATTTGTCCCCCCCTTCCCTACCCACAATACTCCGTGTTTGCAGAGATCTGCTCCAAACAGAGATATATTATATATATTTTTGCTCTGTGCTTTTAGGTCTTTGATTCCTCCAATTTATTTGTTCTTGTCTTTGTGGGCTTAACAGTCAAAGCGTATGATAAGTCATTGCTTGTTAATCCAATTTGGCTCTATTTAGATATCCCAGTTTAACATCAAATATAATACAGAATAATGTCCAGAAGAAACAGAAATGAGATTCGTGTCTCTGAACCAGCTCTGAACCTTGCCCAGTGAGGGCTGACTGCTTTCTTTGCTAATTTATTCTCTTTGGTTTCATCAAGCTGGTCTTCACGGCTGAGCCCCTCACTGCAGGGGGCACAGGCGTGGGGGATCTGTACCATGGGGTGCAGTACAGCACCCCTAGAACCTCTCTTCCGTGTGAGAGTGACAGCTAGCCAAGGTTCCTGGGTTCCCCAGGAACCCTCTTTTAGCGATGCTGGGGAGCTCAGGGGACCAGTGATGGGTTCTCCCACGTCTGGGTGGGCAGCAGTTCCCTAGGGAGCCCAGTCCACCTGCAGTACCCTGCTCTTCACACTGACTGTCCCTGTTATCTATCAGTTGTGCATGGCACAACCAGAGCCAGAAACAGACCTGCTTGACTCAAGTCCCCCCACCCAGCCCCAGAGACCTTGCTGGGGCTCAATGCAGCCCAGGATCCTTCCCTCAGCACCCACCAGCCGCCAAGCAGTGAGATGCAGCACACCTCTAGGGACGAGCGGCGTTTCCAGACAGGCACGCATGAAAGCAGGATCCCGTTTTTGTCTGCAGCAGACGCTCAATCCCGCCCTCCGGCCGCCCACCTCGGCCCTTCCCGGCGCTGTTACTGAAGCCCAGCGCCGCGGTCCCGCAGCCGTCTCAGCAGAGGAGACGCTGCAACTCCTTCGGGTGCGCCGGCGGAGACAGAGGACAGTGACAACTGGCTGGGGAACACAGCAGGGACGTGTCTCCAACCTGACACCTCCGAGCTCCCAGCCCACAGCCGGCACAGCGAGCTGATGGGTCTTGCAGTGGAGGGAGGGTATTAAACCAGGAGCAAGCGCAGCACCCGCGGGGCCCTGGCAGGTTCTGGATGGGGGCTGGTCTGGGATGCTACAAGCAGAGTCCTCCCTCCGGGGCGGTTTCAGCCCCATTTTGTCTCTCAGCCCACAGTGAGCCCATACCTGGCCCTGGGCTGGGGCTCTGCATTGACCCCAAACCAGTCCCCCAGTGACCCTCACTGCAGACTGGGCAGCCCCGCTGCTGCTGCCTTCCTCCACCTCCCACTGCTGATGTTCAAGGGCAGCTCACTGGGACAATTCCTCCCCAGACAGAGTCAGCTCCTACCTGGCAGACAAGTCCGTGGTGCTGGCACAGCTCTGGCCCTGGGCCCTCGGGGCAGGCAGGGTCACAGCCTGGGGTTGCTGTAACAGCTCACGACCTCCTCAGGCACAGGCATCACTGCAGCAACAGCAACATTCCTCTCCAGATAGGGTACAAACCTCCAAACAACCACCAACCTCCCCTCCACAGCCTGGATTTATCTCCTTTTCCCCACCTACCAAATGACTCACTAATGACAGTGCAAACAAGCTGCAGGTGCTGGTTCTGGGCTGGCTGTGAACTGTTACCTGGGGTCTCCCTGCCAACACACACCTGTGCCAAAGCTGACCACAGCCCCTGCTACATCGCTGGAGCCTTTACCGAGGGTTTAAAGTGATGGGAGCCCATCCAGGTGTGATTAACCCCAGCTGACCCCTCTTCCCTGTGTGCCCCAGCTATGCAGGGTGACGCTCAGCTGTGCAGTTCAAGCATCTTCCCAAGCCAGGGAAGGGGCTTCTCAAGTCACTGCTCTGTTCCACTTCCACCTTGGTGTCACCCTGACAGAGCAGAGTCCATTGGGGGGAGCATTTAGCCTTGTAGCCACAAAGTGCTCAGATGCTCCGTGTGTAAGAGTGGTCCATGAACAGCCTGCTAATTCAGGAGGCAGTGGATGCTCCTCACAATCTTGCCACAGCCTCCAAAGCACGCTCCTGAAAAACTAAGGGAAAAAGTCTTTTCTCCTCTGTCATGTCTCAGTGGGGAAGTGTGTTTTGGAGGTGTTTCATACCTGTGCTCAACCCTGTCATAGTTGTGTTTCCCCTGAAGGTGAGGAGTGGCAGTGCAAAGGACCAGCACCATGCCCAGTTTCACAGGGGTGAGGAGAGGGGCTCTGACACTCTGGAACTCAGAGCCTGCCTGCCCCAGTGGGTCACTTTTGGGGATGGTAATGACCCCTCCTCAGGGCTAGGAAAGTTCTGCCTGAGGTTTTCAGCCTCTCGGGTGCCAAAGCAGATCAGCTGTGGGACAGGGACAGGGCTGGGGTGGCACCCAGGGCACCCAGCCATGTGCTGGCTTCTGCAGGACCAGCACCTGGAGCCCATCAAAGCAAAGCCACTCAGGCACATTTAACCAAACACTTACTTTCCATTTTATTCAATAATTGCTTTAATACTAAAATGCATTAGATGCTCAAAGCAGAGAAAAGAAAATCACATTTAGGTGGAAAACAAAGTTCTCATCAGATGAAAAAATCCCAATGTGGCAGGTACACCATTTGGAAACAGAATCGTAATAATTTAATAAAGCTGCTTTATCATCTTCATAAAATAGACAGAATGGTGATTCTTTTTTTTTTTTTCCTTTTTCCATTTTGTTGTTTACAATGATTCAATCACTGTGAAAATGTACATAACATACATATCAGCATATACAACAATTTATTCTTCATATACTCGGCAACGGAGACACCATGACGAGACGTACCGCGCTCAGTCCCGCGGCAGCCCAGCCACCGCCGGCCTCGCCAGGCTGCAAGGAGGCGTGTGCTGCTGAGAGCCAGTTCCGTGAGGTGTGTTTGGAGATTCTATCCCAGCTTAGATCAGCTGAACATCAGCTGATGCTGGCGAAGGCTCCGTCTCAGCAGTGCTTGCAGCGGGGGCGGCTGGGCTTCTCCCCGGCGGGTACCGCAGCTCACAGGTTGGATCAGAGATTACCCATAGCTGCAAAAGCAGCTGTAGCAACAAGACCATCAATTTTCCCCAATGACAGACAAATGTGTTTTCCATTCATAATTAGTTCTTTTTTTCCCCCAAGAATAATTTCAACATACCCATCAGACAAGTGTGTTCTTTACAAAAGCAACTTGTTTCCTATTTGTAAAAAAAAAAAAAAAAAAATAAAAAAATAAAAAAAGAAAGGAATTCACTTCTGCACAATGTGTGATCCACAGGCCACCTCCAGCTCACAACAAACAGGGAACGGAAACAACCTCAGTAGGACGGTGCTCAAGGGGGATTTTTCCAGCCATCAGTCATCCCTCCCAGCCCTCCACCATTCCTCCTGGCATAGTCCTGCAGCCTCGAGGGTGGGAAAAGCCAGGGGCTCCCCAGGGAGCAGGGAAGAGTACAGCCCCCCAGCCCCGAGCCCCAGGGCTGCTCCAGATGGGTCCTCGTCATGCTCGGGGGAGAATCGTCGGTGGCTGCTGCTCTCCTGGATAAACAGGGGAGCAGAGCAAGTTTGCCTGAAGGAAACCAACAGATCCCAGCGATTTTTCCTAAACCAAATCTGAGGACAGGTTTAAGTTATTAAAAAGCACAGTAATTACATCTGGAACTCTCCCAAAAAGCCTTCCCGCCCCCCTGCAGCTCGGAACATTTTTTGCATGGCCAGTTCTGATGCAACTAGGAAAAAAACCAAGAGACTGCGATTTGCCCAGGAGCCTGAACTCATCTCGAGTGACACAGAGGGACAGTGACAGGAGTACCAAAATATTCTGGAGAGGGCCAAGGCAGCAAAGCTGGGGCCACTCCCTGGGTCTCTCCTCAGCCCCGCACAGGGAGGCCATACCAAGGAAGGGCCCCTTGCTCAGCATCCCCTGCTGCAGCCTGGGTCAGCCCAGAAAACTGATGTTTAAACGATTTTCTTGGAGGCATAAGGGTTTACTGACCTCTTTAATGCCCCCTTTTAATAGAGAATTATTTCACATTCTTTCTCGGCTGTGCTTTTATTCAGAGTGGCAAGGAACGTTTCCTCTGGGTAAATTAGAGAAATGTTTCTATTTTTTCTTTTTTTTTCTCTCTTCCTTTTCAGTTAGCATCTATTTTTCATCCAAAATGCTGGGCTGGTGGTGGCAGCTCCGCAGGCAGAGGGCAACGCTCGGCAGAAATTAACGGCCGGTGCTTTTCCAGGCAGCTGGGGATGATGAGGGGGGGACAGCCACTATCCCCATCCCACGATGGGGCAGCCGGGTCCCATCCTGGCAGAGGTGGAGGGCAGACGATGGGGACACATGGGGTTGTTGCCCTGTGAAGCCAAGAGCATCTGACATGTGGGGCATCGCAGGCTCTATCTTTCAGCAAATGCATACGAGAAGCTTCCCCCCCAGAAAACCTCCCAGAGCTGACAAAACCAGGTAACATCAGAATAAACCCAGCCTGATGGTTACAGAACACCCTGTTACTCCAACAGTTTCAAGCCAGCCCCTTTCTTCTTTGCTTGTGTTATAATAAAAAACACATTTGGGGAAAAAAAACCCAGAAATAAATGACAGCAGTAACGGTACACAGGCAGGAAACACGGCAGGAACAGAAACAACATATCCCTGAAAAATGGGCTCAGAATCCAGAACATGAGGGAAAAAACCCCGGTTTGCTTTCTGGAGGGATGCAGGACATCACATTAACACGTGGGATGGGAGCTGAATGAGGTAGTCATCACACCGTGAGGGAAGTGTAACAGATTTCATTAGATGACTGTTTTTTGTTGATTCTTTCCCAATTCCTGGACCTAGCAAGTGGCAGGGGGAACAGGCTGACTGTGGACCTGTCTCGGACTGGCTGTGGCTTCAGCCAAGATCAATTTGTCCTGAAAAAAACAAATGCCTAGAGTTTAATTTTATTTTGAGGGTGACAATGATTGGATATTGTTTTCTTGTTTTCATTTAAATAAATCAAAGTAACAAATACTTTATCATGATATGTAGACCTAGAAAGACTCTTTCTCTAGAAACCACTAATTTCAACTTGCTGGTACAGCAAACATTGGCAAGAGCTATATATTTTCCCTTTCATAATCAATTTTAAATTCTAGGAAACATTATTAAGGGTAGGAAAAATCTGTTCAGTGAAGGGTTAACAATAACAGTAAAAATAATAATACACTAATTGAAATCCTCCTACCTTACTCATACCTCACTGAGGAATTATCACTGCAAGAGAGCAGAGAGTTGTGGAATCCCTTCTCTCTCTCCCTTCTACAAAATGGCTATTAAAGTAGCTCAATTTTTAAATCAATTTTATATGAGTAAATTTGCACCCACACAAAAAAAGTCCTTAATTATGAGAAAAAATAATGAATTACTTTAATTTTTTCTCCATTAAGAAGGCACATTAATTGAATTAGTAGCGTTGTTACATATCACCTGTCTGCCCCTAAATTAACATCACTATTGCTCATTCCATACTTATTTATGATGCAGGGATAGAAAGAAATCAGAACAGTCTAAAATCCACGCCATGATGACACACACACACACATACACTTGGCGTAATTGTGACTGGGAAATGCTGACTTGGAAGTGTGTGTCTAATTGAGAAGGTAATTTAGATCTTTTAAATAATTCCATCTCTTTGACTTGGAAATGATTGGAGACGGGGGATATCTAAATCTGGGAACTGGAAAAAAACCAAAACAACCAACTTCTGGAAAAAAACTTTCCATGCATTGCCTTGAAATTACGCAAAAGAAATGGATAAGGGAAAAAAGTTCAGCACAGTGTATTCGACAATTGCAATCCAGGCAGGATTTTCCCCAAAACATCCTCCCGTAATGCCCTGTCACTGCCCTGCAAGAGCCAGGGGAGGCTGCAGGCAATGGTGGGGGCTGGAAGAAGCGCTTGCTCCACCGGGGCTGCAAACCGCAGGTTCCCCAAAGTTTAAGTAAGATGATTGTGATTTTTTTTTTTTAATTCTTTTTTTTAAGCCTGAAAGCCTTTTGCCATCACCAGACATACAGTAATTTGCAATATCAAATACAATAATAGTACAGATAAGCATGTGACAGCAAAAGGATTCATAATTGCAGGGGTATCCACAGCAAAACACCAACACCTTAAAATACAAACAACCTCGTGCTGGGTGAATGTTGAAACTCACCCGACTGTCGCTTTGAACAGTCGCACACAAGAAACAGCCGCTACTTTGTCCAGACTACAAAACCGCCGGGGTGGTTACTAAAGATGTCCGAATAAGGAATTTGCCACTCAATTCTTTTCCAGGAATGGAAATTTATCTTTGTTTTGAGATATAAAAATATATAAACTCCAAGGAGGGGATACCGAGCACTCATGAGGACTGGGGGTGTCTCGCCTCTGCCCCCGCCACCCGCCGCCTCCCGGCAAAGCAAAACACCGGCTACTCCGCTCCGGCTGCACACCCCTGCCGCCTGTCGAGACAAGTGGGATTGTCA